TGCGCTATATAATGTACTATTGCTGAGTTTTGTAGTCCTCTATAGCTGATGGTATAATATACAGCACAATGTACCATCAGCTATAGAGGAATACAAATCCCAGCAATACATTATAGATCACCATGTGTGGGTGGGAGTGCAGGCTTACCTGAGCAGTCTTCCAGCAACTTGCTTCTGAGATCAGGCCTGTCTATTGGCGGCCGACACCCCCCCCAACCCGCTCCTTACGTCTTCTTCCTCCTGTGCCGATCGTGGATGTGGGCGGGCGGTGAGCGCGAGGCGGGGAAAAGGTGCGGCGTGTGGATGCGGGTGGGCGGGTCTGGCAGCGGCGAGCGTGAGGTGGGGAAGAGGGGCGGCGCACAGCTTGTGTGGAGCCGTGAACAGGGCCAACTAATCAGAGGCCGATTAATCGATGATTGAAAAAGTTGACAACTTTTTCAATCATCGATTATGTCGATTAGTTGTTGCAGCCCTAGTGTTTTGACATAAACACGAGTTTTGGAAGGATCGCCCATCACTTTCTTTGGATTGTTTTACACGGTGGTTTTCACGGATGTGATATGAACTGATTACTTTGGATATATTTGGATTGAAGGACTTTCAAGGATTTTTTATTTCACGCATCAATTCAATTCACGCATTATTCATCTGTGTGTGTGTGTGTGTGTGTGTGTGTGTATGTGTGTGTGTGAGGTATTGGTTTATCAATATTTCTCATATTATATCAGTTACCAATTGGACCCATAGTGCTGCATATTTATTTCCATTCACTAGCTGGACCTGGGTGTCTATAGTGCAGCAGCTGTAAAATTATTTAATAGTTTCATAAGATCACCCATAAGTGCAGATTTGCTGTATTACTTAACTGCAATAGAGAAAAGTCAGGTCTCCAGGATGGCTCTGCTGAGTGGCAGGGCTGTGTAAACCTCAGGAATATGAATCTTTTTCCAGGTAAAACGGCTCCCATTAATGTATTAAGGATATGTGCATTAAGCTGTTTGCCTGGAGTTCAGCTTTACAGATGATTGGCATTAAAACTATTTTGTAATAACTCTTAAAATATTAATGAAGCTTCATTAAAAAGAGCTGCCAATAATCCATCAGACTCCTGCCATATTGGATGATGGCACAGGGACTATAGGAATTTATCATTCCAAACATGTCAAAAGCAAATTTTGGTTTACTTTTTTCATCTGCACATGATTGTATAGACTGTGACTTTCATTATCCAATCTTATTGTGTGAAGATTTTCCACACCTTTAGTGAATCAGCCTAATATACTTTAGCCTCTCATTTAAGGTGTTTTGCTCTCTTGCAGGTTATGGCTATGAGAAACCAATGAGACCCTTCAATGATGATGCTTGTGTTGTGCCAGAGAAGTTTGAAGGTAAGACTTTATTTGCTTGTTTAAGTCACAAGTTGGATACCTTTTTGAATCAATTCCCAGACAAAAAAGATAATGTAACATATATAAGTTGTATCATATGCATTTTAACCAATTCTTACGTACACCGGTGAGATTTCAATAGTTCACGATTGCAGGTTTTGGCAGTGTCCCTTCTACAGATCAGTGGCTCTGAATACATATTTTGTCTGCTTTTCAGTGTTTTAAATTTCTTTTAGCCCATCTTGGCTCATCCCCAGTAGCTGGTTTATATACTTGCATCATGTTGTTGTACCTTTACATTATACGGGTAATGTCTATACATAACATGTGGATAAAGGTGCAGTCCCATCAGCCGCTGACTGAGGGCAGTTCTCAATGGAATATATATGTTGTAACGTCACTGCACTTGTATGCCATTTAATTCTTCTTTCTATCCATGTTACTGAATGTCCGTACTGAGGTACAAACATGTACAGGTGGGAGAACCTGCAGCAGCCAAAGCATTGCACCCACAGTCATGGTTGCAATGCTTTACTGGCTTTAATGCAAAAAACATTGTGCATTTATTTATTTTTTCAGAAGGTGGAATTTGCCTTTTTAATAGGTGCTCATGCCTGCCTGTAGTATAGGGAGTCAATTTTTCTCACAAGTTTTAGATTTTCCTTAGTCATCAGGTTCATGTGGTCATTTTGGAAAACATTGGTGTTTTAGTATTGTGAATGATGACTAATTTGACCATGTTGGATTTTCAGCCAGTGATATCAAACAGGAAGTTGGAACCTACAGAGATGGGCCACCTTACCAAAGAAGAGGATCATTACAATTGTGGCAGTTCCTGGTGGCTCTTCTGGATGATCCTTCCAATTCCCACTTCATTGCCTGGACTGGAAGGGGCATGGAATTCAAACTGATAGAGCCAGAAGAGGTGTGTGTTTTAAAAACGCTACTTTCCAGTTCAAAGTAGCTACTCCTACCTTAGGCCAAAACATGTCAGTTAGAAGATCTTCATCCAGTACAAAGGAATAGTATAGTACTTTTATTAGACCCAAGTCTTTATCGTGTGTGTATCTCTAAATATATAAATTATTGCTAAAAGTCTCCCCATCCTATTATGGGTATTCCACTTGTAAACAATTACACCTAGAACAAGCAAGGTTTGATGCATTAAAATGTATCTAAACTCCAGACCAAAGATGTATGTTGCAGTTTACCAGTCCTTAGATGTGGGGACTGCATTCATTTTTATTCAGATTATTTTCCCTTTTACATGGTGATCCTGCTAATAACACACTTCCTGTCCTGGGATGACGACGTTCACTCACTGTACTGTATCAGCATAGTCATTAGGCTGCTCTCTTTGAATGTCAAACACCCTCTCCTCATTACCATTAAAAAGGAGGGAAGGTATTTTGTAGTTTACAGAAGCTAGCTAGGAAGGCTGATAGCATTGTTTAAGAATTCAGTTTGGTACATAGGACGTACCAAGGACAGAAGATTTCTGGCAGGATCCACAGTTCTCTCTGTACTTGCAGACGTTTTGGAGATACCTGTTATGATTTTTGAGTTTGCAGTCGATCCTAATATATTGTGCATCTTTTTTGGAGGGGACACAAAACTGCTTTCATAGACCTATTGGTAATTAACTAGTAACTGTTTACAGTATTTTTCATTAAAAAAACATTTTGGTCTCAGAGTTCTTAAGCTTAATGATCTGCACATAAAGAACTATATTTACAGTATAGATAGCTGACTCACATCTGAGTCTTCCTCACAGTATATTTTCTACCCTGTGTGTCTCCACCTTGTTCAAGTCAGTTCACTCATATTGGTCTCAATATTTTTTTTTCATATGTCACAGCTCGGTGAGCTTGTATAGCATCAAGAAGAGCAAAATGTATTTATTTTTTGCCTCCAGGCATGTTAGCCCTTTTAAAGCTTAAAATTAGAGAATGACAAAACATGGTTTCTGTTAAGCTAACCTGTTAGCTCCTCCTTACCTTTTGACAGTCTGTTTTGATGCTGATGTTTTATTTTTTACAGGTTGCCAGACTCTGGGGCATGCAGAAAAACCGGCCAGCAATGAACTATGACAAGCTCAGCCGGTCTCTTCGCTATTACTATGAAAAGGGAATCATGCAGAAAGTGAGTGAATAATAATGAGATATACACCGATCAGCCATAACATTATGACCACTGAGAAGTGAATTGAATAACATTTGATTACCTCTTTACAATGGAACCGGGAAGTGAGTGGGATATATTGGGCAGCAAGTGAACAATTTGTCCCTGAAGTTAATGTGTCGGAGGCAGAAAAATGGGCAAGTGTAAGGATTTGAGAGACTTTGACAAGGGGCAAGTTGTAATGGCTAGATGACTGGGTCAGAGCAGCTGTGTGAAGTTGGCACCCCATGTTTGTAAAACCTGAATAAAAATATACCATTCGTTTGTGCTGCAAAAACCAGCGTTTGTGCTGGTTCGGTTTCTGAGATATTAAACATTCAATTTAATGCAAGCCCCGCCCACTTTGCACCCCATGTTGCTGAATTTTAAAAACAAAGACGCCATTTGTTTGTGCCGCGTTTGTGCTGGTTTGTGCCGCAAAAATGTTTATGCCGTTTTGTTTTCGGAGATATTGTGAGTTATAGTTGCTGTAACCCCGCCCACTTTGCACCCCATGTTGCTGAATTTTAAGAACAAAGACGCCATTCGTTTGTGCCATGTTTGTGCCGCAAAAATAAATGTTTGTGCCGCTTTGGTTTCAGAGATATTGTGAGTTATAGTTGCTGTAACCTCGCCCACTTTGCACCCCATGTTGCTGAATTTTAAAAACAAAGACGCCATCAGTTTGTGCCGCAAAAATAAACGTTTGTGCCGCTTTGGTTTTGGAGATATGGTGCGTTATAGTTGCTGTAACCCCGCCCACTTTGCACCCCATGTTGCTAAATTTTAAAAACAAAGACTTTCAGGCCATTCATTTGTGCCGCTTTGTTTTCGGAGATATTGTGCGTTATATGTTTGCAAAACACACTGACTTTACACCTCGTTATTAAATCTTAGATACAACTAGATTATCTTGGTGGATATTGTACATGATGTTTTACTTAATATGTGTATTTTTTGCTGGGGAGGGGCCGGGCACAGCTGACTCTAGCTCTAGAGAGGCAGGGCCAGCTGTCAATCAGGTGGCAGGGTGGATCTCGACCAGTATTGTCGGGATCTGTCCCGGCTGCAGCGTGGCTCTGCGTTGTCAGCATATAGTGGGCAGTAGCTCGCCATATGCTGAGTATATGTCCTCTTGTGACCAAAAAGAGAACTAAGGCCAAAAAAGTTGGGCCATAGTCAGGGGCGTAACTAGAAATCCCAGGGCCCCATAGCAAAATGTTGTAAGGGCCCCCGCAACGAAACCCCAGCCCCCATTTTAATAGAAATGCGCTGATCAGCACGTTTTTGAGCGTTTTTAATTGTGTTTCAGTGCCAAAAATGCTGCGGAAACCACGGTGAAACATTTCCGCCCTGGGGTGAATGGTGCCTGAATGAGGCCTAACACTTTACTTTAATACTGCCACACCAACCAAGCTGAGGAAAGGGGGTTATGAAGGAACGCTAAACTGTAAATAAGGGATTTATGTTATAAATGGTTTTTGCGCTGTATTGGTGTTTGTATTGCGATTAAAATGATACAGGCGTATATTACAACACAAGGTATCTCAACGCACGGCAATGCGTCACAAAGCTTTGTCATGCGCTGCCACAGTTAATTTTATTTTTTTATTATTATTTTACTGTTGGTGGGGCTTCGGGGAAATATTAGGGGTCTAAACAGACCCCCGACATTTCCCTTTTAAAATGGAAAAAAAAATTGAGGACACAGAGTCCTCAATCTCTTTCTCTGCAGCCTCAGGTCTCAGTGAATGGGAAGCACTCAGTACAGAGGCTTCCCATTCATTCACAAACTGCAAGATAAGATATTTACTATCAAGCAGATTCTCAATGCGGAGGGGCCTCTGTACTGAGTGCTTTTCAAAAGTTTAAACCAGGTGTTAACCAAGCAAAACAACACTCCAGCACATTATCTTATATAAGTCACTTCTTTTTCCATTGCCTTTTTTGAAAAACATCTATGTTAGTAAAAACATTTTCTGGTGTGTATGCACTAAGTCAGCAGTCGCCAACCGGTGGCAGTGGTCCAAGAGAAAATTTTGGTGGTCCCCAGGCTCCTCTGATGCCGTGCAGGCTGAGCTCTCATTGAATGGGCACGAAGGCTCCGGGGCTGCCTCTCACTGACTCAAACAGCGGCTGTCACAAGGAATGCGCGGCTCTCAGTACAGTGCGGGCTCTGCAGGAGGCGGGGCATCTCGTCAGTACCCGGACTGAGCAGGCTGTGGAACATGGATGAAGTGGGGGAAGGGGAGGCATGTGGGTGGATGGGGGCAGTGCTGAACTAGTCGGGGCATGTTCCCGGGCGCCGCTGGCAGGGCCAGTAGCAGATTCAATAGGGGAGGGGAACAATTCATATTATTCCTGGCCCAGGGCGGGCGGCACCGCTCCCTCCCTCCACCAGCACTGCCACTCCTGCAGGCACACCCGCACCTATGTATGTATGTATGTATGTATGTATGTATGTGTAATATATATTATACATACATGCATACATAATAAATAAATATTACTCCTAGAATGAGATCCTAATAGGTTGGACTTGATGGACTAATGTCTTTATTCAACCTCAAATACTATGTAACTATGTAATCTGAGTTTCCCCACTCAGTTTGCCCGTTGCTTGCGGTCATATTGAGTGGGGCACTAAGATTAATAAGGTGCTGGATTAGTCTGACACAGGGGCGGACTGGGCCCGGAGGCAGGGTGGCAATTGCCCCCCAAGCCTCTCTGATACCTTTGCAAACGCCCCCCATTGCCGCCGTAAGCATTTAATCTCTCCCCTCTTGGTCGCTCTGCTGCTGCTGCGGCCGAGAGGGGAGAGATGTAGTCCTTGGCGTTTGCAAAGGTATCAGAGAGGCCCGGGGGGAAATTGCCACCCTGCCCCCGGGGCCTAGTCTGCCCCTGGGTCAGACTAATGCAGCACCTTATTAATATGAGTGCCCCACTCAATATGGCCGCAAGCGACAGGCATACTGAGTGGGTCAACTCAGATTAAGATGTGCAACGTCCAAAAGATGTGGACTGGGAGGGGGGGCTCTAAATAATGATCTGATCACATTCACACCGCTGAGCGATCCCTCTCTTCTCCCGGCCGCTTCAGCTCCACGAAGGCGGCTCTGATCGCTCCTGTCAGCATTCCCTCTCTCTCCTCCCGACTGCTGGAAGGAGAGAGAGGGAGCAATAACAGGTGTGATCAGAGCCACCTCTCTGAGTGCCCGCTTCATGGAGCTGAAGCTGCAGCGGCCGGGAGGAGAGAGAGCTAGTGCCGGCTCTGGATAGGACACTACCGCCGCGGTGATCGTTCGCTTCAGTTCTCTCTTCTTCACGTCCGCTCTGTAGCTGCCGCAGCCGAGAAAAAGAGAGAACAGAAGCGAGTGATCGCAGTCACGCTAGTGTCCCATCCTTGGTCCCGCCGGCGGAGCTCCCCCTCACTGACATTCCAC